CTTCAGCTCAAGGCATGCGCTCTACCACTTGAGCCACAGTGCCACTTCCGGTTTTTTGGTGGTTAATTGGAGATAAGAGTCTCACAGACTTTCCTGCCTGGGCTGGCTTTGAACCGAGATCCTCAGATCTCATCCTCCTGTGTAGCTAGGCTTACAGGCATAAGCCACCAGCTTATATATACTTTACAACAAACCAAAGATAAGTAGTGGGTAAGGTTTTAGAGAGGAAATAAACCAGATAACATTAAAAAATCATGCCTAGGGACTGAGGGTGTCACAGGCTCAAGTGGTAGAGCACTTGCTAGTAAGCACAAAAAAACCTGAGTTCAAATCCCAGTACTACAAAAAGAATAAAAGATTATCTTGTGACTCCTAGAAATTTTAGCAAGTTCAAAGTCTCAAGCTGAAACTCCAGTATTACTAAAGAAAAAATATACTTGACATGATAGTACATTCCTATAGTCCTTGCATTCAGGAGGCAGAAGGATCTTGATTTTTTTTTTTTTTTGTGCTGGTCCTGGTATTTGAACTCAGGGCCTAGGTAGTGTCCCTGAGCTTTTGTGCTCGAGGTTAGACTCTATCACTTGAGCCACAGCTCCACTTCCAGCTTTTTGGTGGTTAATTGGAGGTAAGAGTCTCATGGACTTTTCTGCCTGGGCTGGCTTTGAACCATAGTTCTCAGATCTCAGCCTCCTGAGTAGCTAAGATTATAGGTTTGAGCCACCATCACTTAACTTAACGACTGTGACTATTGGCTTTATTGTACTTGTTTCTTTACAGTTTTCATTTGCTTTTTTTCTTATTACTAGCTGTCCTATCTTCTTATTGAAAAATGTGGGTGTCCCTCAAAACTCTGTTTGGACCCTTTTTATTTTTTTATGTTCTCAGCCATCTTGTGACTACCATGGTGTAGTCCTTTGCCTTTGGACATCTCCATTTACATGTCTGACACTCAGTTGAAGGTGTCCACATCTGAACATAGATTGTATGTGTGTATATGTACATGTATGTACATAGTCACTTACATGCATACATGCCTGTTAATACTGGCACTTGAACTTAGAGGCTAGTGCTCTTGCTTAGCTTTTCACTGAAGGCTGGTGCTCTACCGCGTAAGCCATACCTCTATTTCCAGTTTTTTACTGTTTAATTGGAGATAAGACTCTCAGACTTGTCTGCCTGGGCTTTGAACCAGCATCCTCAGATCTTAGCCTCCTAAAGTAGCTAGGATTACAGATATGAGTCACCAGTGCCAAGTTTTCCCTTCTGTTTTGAAGACCATGTAATAGGCACCTAGTCCTCCAGATATTACTTGTTGTCTTCCTCATCCATTTTATCAGTTCTTACAGTAACCTTACTGCCTTTTGCCTGGTAGTACTACAGTTGTCTTTTGATCTTGTTTTCTTCCCCTCTCTTTGTGTACTCTCTTTACCTACTGAAAATCCACTTTACACGATTCTGTCATTATAATGTTCCTAAAACAGAGATTTAATTCCGATCTCAAATGTGTTTGCTGGTTTCCTCTTGTATTTGGAATAATATCATTCTTCAAACATAGCATAATCTGACTTCAGCCTGCCTCTGGTATTTGGTAGCAGTGTGCCTGAACCCATGCCAATGTGGCTGTTCCCTGTTCCCTTACATGGGTAAATAGGCATGCTGACACTCTTCGCTCATTACATTTCACCTCACATTCTTTGGAAAATGGTTCCTTGTCATTGCCAATAGAGCTTAAGATTCATCTCAAACACTGTTTGTTTCTATAAAGTACTGCATATAACAGTTACAACCTGCTTGTTTTCTCTTCTAACACCCTACAACATGATTTCTTACAGGCTGCTTCTTAAAATTTTTAAGCCCTCTGTGATTTGTTTTGTGCTTGCTTTACAGCCATTCTGTTTATCTCGCCACTCCCCCTTAGGATTCCTGTGATTCACCACATAATTCACCACATAAAGTCACTTCTTGTTCCTCAGAATAGGACTGTATGCTTTGTGTACTTGTCATTTCCCATGTGGCACATCTTCTACTTCCATTTTTTTTTGTTTTTGGTGTGGGTAGAGCTGGTAGTGGTGGCCTTTGAAGCTAGTTCTCCATAGATTCCTCCGTCATACAATGGTGTCTATCTACTCAGCTCTACAAATAGGTTGCCATAGTGGAAAGAGTTTATTATATTCAAGCTTTCGTTGAAACTCGGGTTTTGATGTCTACTAGCCATGTGAACTTGATTAAAATGACTGAATGTTTGTGAACTTCTGATCTGTAAAATAGGGATGATATTTAAGCTTTATAGGATAAACACAGATATACAGGTTTGTGTGAAGGACTGAGGATATGTCTCAGTGGTAGACGTCTTGCCTCACATGCTTGAGGCCATGGGCTCAATCTCAGCACAGCCAAAAGGGAAAAAAAAACATTAAAGTGAGAAATGCCACATAAAATGCTTCGCATATGGTAAGTCTTCAAGAAATGGCATTAGGGCTAAATAAATAAATAAACCAGCAGTTGCCGTTTGTGATGGAGACATAGGAAATGGTACAGACTAAGATGAAGTGGCAATCTTCTTATACCTCGGACATGCCTTTCCAGTAACAAATTCTAGGTAGAGACCAACAGAAGCTGCTTCCTGTAACCAACTATTAACTTCTTCCTTCCAAAGAAGAAATAAATGCTTCCTTCATGTTGTCCTGCTATCTATTCTGCTTCTCCAGGAAGCCTTCTGTCTTCTTCTAGATTATTGCTTTGAAAATAAAGATAATGATTTTTGTCAGTTAAGTCAGTACAGATGAAGTCCTGACTTGTCAACGCTTCATGATCTGGTCTTAACACCCCTCTCTTTGAACTCACCTTTCACTCTGCCCCATGCAGTGGACGCTTGCCATTTTGGTCTGCTCATCATTTGAGTGCTTTTCTATGGTGGGAAATTCCATAGTGTCTGACCCATATGGAGAAACTGAGAAGTCCAAGTCCTCATTGTTCTTGCTGCTTGACATTTATACTACAGGAATGTGACTCAGTAGCTCATTGGAGACCATTGCAGTGAGTGGCACAGAGGATCACAGAGTGAAGGTGTGATGATAATGTGCTCATGTTACATTGGCCATGAGTCCCCCATCTGCTGTTCCTAGGAATAGTTTTAGCTCCATACCTAGCCTTGGTACTGGGCTAGTTTTAGCACCTCAGTTTTGCAGCTCAAGTTGGATTTGTACATTACAGTTACTATTTTTTTTGGGGGGGGGTCCGGTTGTGGGGCCTGAACTCTGGGCCTGGGTGCTGTCCCTCAGCTCTTCAGCTCAAGGCTAGTGCTCTACCGCTTGAGCCACAACGCCACTTCCGGCTTTTTTTTTGCTTATGTGGTGCTGAGGAATCGAACCCAGG